ACAACAGCCCTGTGAGATAAGTGAAATTGGAATTAATATTTCCATTTTACAGATGACAAAACCGAATCTCAGAGACATTAAATGACTTGTCCACAGATGCCCAGGTTTTTCCAGACTGTGTCCACTCTACTATACCACCTTTATATTGACATTAAAGAAAGAACACTTAACTTGAAAAAAATCTCATTTTTAATTGAGGCAATTTTCTCAGACATGGGAGAGATACTGGGGTAGGAAAGAATGCTTTGAATTTCATTCTCTCTGGGGGGAGAATAACTTTAGTCTCATCCAGGTTCTCCTCATCCCTTGATGAATTGTTAGCCACTAAAAAGTTCAAAATAACCATTGTTTATGGAAGCCAATTTATAACAATAGGTCACATTTATCCCAATTTTCTTTCCCAGCTACTCTGAGATAAATAGACCAGTAAATAGAAATAGTTTGGTAGAGTGCCAGGACTGGGCTTTGGAAGACCTGAGTTCAAATCTGTCCTCAGACATTTATTAGCTGTATGATTCTGGGCAAGTCACTTAACCCTTTTAAAAATCACTTTCCATATTTTTTTCCTGGAGGCAATTGGGGTTAACTGACTTGCCCAGGGTCACAGAGCTAGTAAGTGTCTAAGGTCAAATTTGAACTCAGAGCTTCCCAACTCCAGGCCCATTGCTCTATCACTGCACTACTGAGCTGCCTCAATAATAGTTATTTTTAATATTATTATATCGTAGATATTTCATAAATGTCATTTCACTCAACACCGTGTTAAGACTGGGGCTATAAAAAGACAAAAAATTGAATAGCCCCCATCCTCAGGAGCCCTATATTCTGGTGGTGACTGCCATATAACTTGTGCACAGATAAGTCCATACAAAGTCTACCTTTTCTATTACATAATAATAAGGAAAACTTATAGCTGCATCATGCTTGAAGGATCTTGGGACCACAGAGTCAGGGCTAGAAGGGATCTGGGAGGTCCTTAGGTCTACCTCCCTTATTACAGATAAAGAATTGTGACCAGAGCAGTCTAGCAATTTGCCTAAGGTCACACAGCAGAGGTAACCCCCAAATCAAGACCCCTTGACTCCAGATTGAGGCTTTTCTCACAATAACCATGTAAGGGGTGCAATAAGGTATTATTCTTCCCATTTTACAGATGAGGAAACTGGGAATCAGAAAGGAAAAGTGACTTTAAGGACACATTTCCAATAAGTGTTAGAGTCTTTTCTAAAACCTAAGTCTCTCCTGACCCTAAATCCTGAGGTTTCCCTGAGCTGCCCTGAGTTGGGGGCAGGGTGGGGGGGGTGGAAGAGGAGATGCAACAGAGCTATTATTATTTGAAAGTTATTAATAAAAATATCTTTCAAGGCCAGGGTATGATTGCTAAACTCAAATTTGAGCAATTTAATTGTTCATTGAAAGGAACTGCAATCTTCTCACTGGGGATTTCTCTCTTAGAGCCACTATGTGTGAAATTGAAATCTAAAGATATCACTCCAAATATTCATCTTCTCCAGGGAAGTTTTCCCCCAAGAGTTGGGGAAGATAAGGAGCTGGCCCAAAGTGCAATCTCTATCTCTGTCTCTGTCTCTCTCTCCCCCTAGCTCTCTCCTCTCTATCTCTGTCTCTGTGTCTGTCTGTCTGTCTGTCTGTCTGTCTCTCTCTCTCTTTCGCTCTCTCATTGTATACTTAGGCCATAGTTGAAAGCATGCTGGTGAAAAAGAAACTTTATGGGGGAAAAAAAAGTTGGCCATGGTGTTCCCATCCAGAAGATTTTACATTCTGGAATCCAAAGATCTGTTTCTTTTCATGACTGATACTTGTCCCAATTCAGAATTAAAGCATGTAAGCCAATAACTGGCTTGTTATCAGGGTTAATTAAAGCAAAGAAATGCAATCATACTCTCTGCCCACAGAGATAATAAACATTAATATGTTATTGTAAAATTCTTATTTAAAAAATTCTTAGCTTGTTCATGATTTTTTTTAAAAAAAGATTTATTTTATTTTCTTAAGGAAATTGTGAAAGCCTTTATTTTAATCCTCACTTCACTTTGGAATTGACTTCCCAATCTCTCCAGTCCTCTGAATTATAAAACAGTTAGGACCTGGACCCCTGTGAATTTTATTCTCCTTCCTGATTGTACAGTGATTATGTATGACATTAAATATTTATCACATAATTCAGGCTGCCTGAGAAAGTCTGGGAGGCTTTTCCCACTAAAAGGAAGTGTCTGAGCACAAGAATGTCTTTTTATATTAATAACTTAAAAATATATAGTGAAGGGTGTGGATACAAAGTGGTTCCTTTAGCTGCCTCCTGACTCCAGAAAAAAATACATTTAGTTAATATTGTCAGGGACCTAGTTCTTCGGCAAGAAGGTCAGAGAATCATAGGAGGGATAAAAATGTGCATTGTAGTCCAGGCATCAGGCTTGACATTGTAGTGGGGATTGGCCTTTGGATTCACAGCCCTGAAGGTACAAGCATTTGATTCCTCTTTTCATCAACCAGTTGTCAGGAAGCATTTATTAAGCACCTACTGTGTACCAGGCACTGTGCTAAGTGCTGGAGATAACAAAAGGAAGCAAAAAAAATAATGCTTGCCCTCAAGGGCAATCTAATTACAATCTAATGGGAGGGGGAAGCAAACAAATAAATATGTACCAAAAAGCTGCATACAAAATAATGATTTTTTTTCCTTTTTCTTTCTAAATTCTCTGTCTTAAGGGATAGCTCGCTGGGTAGGGGAAGGATGAGGGATGTATACAGAAATGAAAGTGATATAAAAACAAAAGATATCAGTAGAATTATTTTTTAAAGGAACAGTAAGTTCCTCCCTGAATTTCTTTTCTGGTAGCAAATGGATGTAGTGCAATAGGGATAACTTGGGATTTAAAATAAGATCTGGATTCAAATCCTAACTTTGGGCCTCAGTTTCCTCATCTGGAAATTGAGGGAATTGGCCAACTTAGCATCTGAGGTCCCTTCCAGCTCTAAATCTATCATTCTATGCCCTCATGTCAGGAAGCATGACTTTAGGACCTGAAGGAGCTATAGAGATCGAAGCCGTTTTACAGAGGAAAAAACTGACACCGAGGGATGAGGAGCTACTTGTCCAAAGTAGCGGGGTTGGGGATTAGCACAGTCCTCATTCTACTACAGATCAAGCTCTCTCTAAAACACCACTGCCTAGCGCCCTTAATACATGCTTTAAAAAAAAAAAGTTTATAAATGCTTTTTAATGAGGCTGTTTCTAAGGCAATTTGAGTGCCGTGGAAACAGTACTTGGTAAATATGAAAGGGCCCCTGCCCTTTCTATTTCTACCTTTGGAGGTGAATGAAAAATAGCCTGAAAATCAAAACATCTCATTTGGCTTCTTCCGGATGCCTGGGGGGAAGGGCAAAAGCATCTTCCTGTTATTACTTATCATTAATTCAGGGTGGTATATTTGCACAGTTATTTACTGGCTATTTGTAAGTGAACAGGTTTAACCACTAGATCAGTCCATCTTATTGAAGCAGGGGAGAGAGAAGAGGTGGATGGGGAGAGCCCTGCACAGGTTCTCAGATGTCTCCTTTCTCCCCCCACCTCTGCTGGACTGTGGTCCCTAGCACTGCACAGGGGTGTCTAACCTGGTCCATCCCCAATACCTGGACAAGCTCCCCTTCCATCCTTAACCCCTGTGACCTGTACACCTTACAGGCTGACTATGTGGCTAGAAATAACGCTGTAGATCCTAGATCCAAAGGTGCAATTAACCCTAACCCTCACCTTCATTTGGCAAATGAGGAAACTGAGGCCCTTGTTCTCCTCATTTGACAGTGGAGGAGAGTGGAGACCAGGGAAGTTAACAGACTGGCCCACAGTAATACAAGTAGAAAGCATCAAAGGCAGAATTGGGTCCCAAGTCTTGCAGACCCAGACGACTGCCCTAAATATAGAAACAGATCCCTGCAGGGCACATATTGACTTAGAAAACCACAAATTAACATTATCCAGGTTGTATTGTATTTTCACTTGGTTAAACATCTCCCAATTACATTTTAATCTATTTCAAGCTTCTGGATTGTTTGACACGTCTGCCACTCCAAACTAGGATCCAAGGAAGGCTTCGTGCATTCTCCCACCTCCACACCTTGGCTCATTTGTTATCCCTACCAAGACTTCGGACTCCACAGCCTGGGCTTTTTCCATTGTATCTCTCACTGCCTCAGTTGATCTGCCATGCTGGATTTGGGATCGGAGACCCTGGTTTGGGATCCCATCTATATTACTTAATTTGTGACTTTGGGAGAATCACTCCATCTCTCTGTAAAATGAAGGGATTGGATTATACTAGATCTGAGCGACCTCCCTGCTCTAAACCTGTGGTCCAAAAAGTGGTCCCATTTCCGAACATTGTTATTTCAAATGTTCTTCTCTGGGGCAAGCCTGTTCACCTTCAACCTTAGTTAAGAAAAAGGGAGGTGAAGAAAATTCCCAAAGGCTGATTTTGAGGCCACCTCTGTCCTTGGAGGGGAGGGCAATGCACTGCCCAGCCAGCCCCCCCCCCCCCCGCCCAGGCTTGGCATTGGCCCCTTTAAGAAACCAAGTCAGTCGTGATGCCGCTGCTGTTTGTATTGTTAATCCCCCCAGGAGCCCAGTTTTTTTTTTTTTTTAAAGGGAAAAAGGAAAAGAAAAGAAATAAAACGGGCAGCTGTCTCTTTAAATGTGATTTCCTTCTATTGTATTTGAATCGTGATCAGGAAAAAGGAAATGAAACCAGAGACAGAGGGAGGCTGAGCAAAAAATAGACATTTCAGAGAGAAGGGGGGAGACACGCACACCCCCTCGACCCGCCCCCTCTCTGCTCCCTTCTCCTCCTCCTCCCTCTCCGCTCCCTCCCTCCTGCCCGCCCCATCACACACGCGCGCTCTGAAAGCCTGAGCCCAAGGTGTGCGGGGGACTCCGGGGCACAGGTTCGCAGCGGGAACAGGGACAGGAGCCGGAGCGGGAGCCGCAGCAGGGGCAGGAGGGAGCCCGAGCCCAGGCTGCCACAGCCGCAGCCGCAGCCGCAGCAGCAGCACAAGCAGCACAAGCAGCCGGAGCCAGGGGGAGAGGCGCAGGCGAGGCTCCCCGGGATGGAGGGTTAAGTCCCGGAGCCAGGATAGAGTGGAGCTCGCTGGGGGCCCCGGCAGGCAGGCAGGCAGGCAGGCAGAGCGAGCCCCGCACCCTGTCCCATCCTGTCCCATCCCATCCCCAGGCCCCGCACCCCGCCTGACCTCCCCCCGCCCCCTGCCCCGGGGGATTCGCCCGCGTTCGCTCTCTGTCCCTGGCGCTGCGAGGGAGCCCGTGAATGTCATTGAGGGCGGAGGGGAGAGTCAGCCGGTGAGCAGCCGCGGCAGCAGCACTGCCCGAGGAGGGGCAGAAGGAGGAGGACCAGGACCAGGACCCGAGGGGGTGCCGAGCCGCCCGCCTGGCCCTGCGCGACAAAGGAGCCCCCCCACCCCCACCCCCAGCAGCGCGCCACCCCCTTCGCCAATGTCCTCGGCCATCGAGAGGAAGAGCCTGGACCCGTCCGAGTAAGTGGCCGCTCCATACTCCAACCTTGGAGCCGTCCAGGGTGTGGGGGTGGGGGGCGCGGGCATGTATGGACGCGCTGCGCCCAGGACCTCTTGTACCCCTGGGGATGGAGAGGGAGGGGCTTGATCCAAGAGGGGCTTCTGGTGATCGCCCTCTGCGCGCCCCCATGAACTTGGCCTCCCAACGGGCTCGCCCCCCTTTCCCTGGGACTGCCCATCCCCTCCCCCACGTGGGGGACCCCTCCAGTGGGGAGGGTTAGGGGTCCTAGTCGCTTGCGTGGCCCTGCCCCTGGGGAAATGGGAACTCCCTGCGGAATGAATAGATATCCCTTGGCTGAATGGGGTGAAGGGAGCCCAGGCTGGGATTCTAACCGGGGTCCCACTGCCCCACGCGGGGCTCAGCCCGAGCCGAGCCGAAGGTCAAGAACGGACCTGACGCTCAAGTTGTACTCATTCCAGGAACGAGGAGTGCTGGGCAAACTTTGCTGTGAGCTCAGCCGGGCTTGGGCGTGCAGGTGGAAGAGGGCAAGAAGGCTCCGGGAGCTGAGGGACGGCGCCAGCCTCTCTTTCCTGCCGCTCTCCTTTTTCTCCCTCTTTCCCCTGAAAATTGTGTAATTCCGAGTGGGTCCCAAAGCTTGCTTCTTTCTTCCCTTGCCGAAGGAGGAGAGGGACTCTAGCAGCTTAGTGCTCTGAGAGGGGTGAATGGTGTTAGAAATGTCTCTGGGCTGCCCTTCTGGGCTCTCTTAGACAGTTAGAGGCTAATAGGCTATCTCTGACGTCTACAGGCATTGAGAGGCTAGAGGAGTCTTGAAAGACGTGTGTCTTCAAAGCTCCTGCTTTAAATGTTGGGTTTGTGTTGGGGGGGGTAAGAAAGAAGGGACCATTGGGGTTATCTGTGAGGGAGGAGAAAAAAGCCCTTTTTCCTTAAACTAATTTTAAAATGAATTAGCTGCCAGGTTTGGAGACTTTTTTACTCCCTTGAAGCCCACATAGGCTAATATTCTGTTGAGAGGATTCCTTACACACCACTGAAGGGGTCAGTCAATGAGAGATCCACTTGTGCTTTCTGAAGGCTTTTGTTTTCCTTTTTCATTTCTCCGAGCTGTTTGAAATAATTGGACTTTCCTGCCTGAAGTATTTCCCCCTTCAGTTTTCATGCACATTGTTTACCTGGGCCTTATCCTGAGATAGAGGATATAAAAGCCCATTGCTAGTCTCATAAAACACCGGAAGGGCTCCTAATAGAATAAGAGTATATAAATATCGCAATGCAGTTTTGAAGGTCAAGACCCAAGCTTCAAAGTAGAGAGGTTTGTGATCATTTTCTTCAAATAGATTCCCCTGGAGGGGTTGGGTAGACATGGGGGCAAATCTATACTTAGAAACAGAAATTATGTCTACTTGATGCATTTAATGGGTTGTTGACTCTTAGGAAAATCTCAAAGTATATCTTGGCACAAAAATACCCTGTAGTTGGGTTTTTTTCTTGCCATGGTCAATTCAACTCAATAAACATGTATTAAGCCCCTGCTGTGTGTAGGAGACCATGAGGAAAAACTGCAAAGCAGAATACTGTAGGTTTGTCAGTTGATACCTAATGCCACTGAGGTCAGTAAGCCCTTCATTCACTAGCCCTTTTATTAGCCAATAAATTGGGAGGGATCAGTTTCCTTAAGGATAAATATTAGATATTTGTTCTTTGGAAACTTTGTACTCTAGACAAAGATTGAAAACCTGACACCTCTGTTATGCCATTAATGTTGTTGACTTACTAACTCCATTCCCTGGATCATTCTCCTTTCTGACCCCCCCCTCCAAGGGCATTTCAGGCCAAGCCAGTTGTGTAATGGCCAGTTGATATATAATTTGTCCTGGGTGTTGTAGATCAGAATTTAAAAAAAAACAAAAAAACAAATAGAAAATCTCGATAAATAATCCAAGAAATCCAGGCTGTGTTTTTGAGTTAGAAAAGGGGCCAGCAACCATAATTGGCCACTTGCTGTGTAGAAGCCTGAAAACACTCTGGGAGCATTTAAAATATTCATTTGGGGGTGCTCCTACTTAGTCATTGCCTTGGAATTCTCACTAAACAGAACTCTGACTGTGGATAATGAGCTATTATAACACCAATTACAGTAAGAACTCTGTGAGATAGATGGCGGGATAATATCTCATCCTGTCCGAGGCTATCTTATCTTAGGCCATCTTAATACTTGCTTTTGCTTAACATTTGAAAACGTAGACCACTTTCTTCTAAGATATTTAACTCCATACTTACAGGGGATTGGGTCATTCGTGGCAACTTCCCCATGTTGCAGATAGATAAAAGCCTTCTGAGCTTGCTTGAGTTGGGTCAATTAATCAGAAGTAAGCTTCTGGAAGGGAGGGGCAGTTTTTCCATTCCATTCTGCAACCCCATCTTACAGGCTTTTTTTTTTTCCTTGACACAGGCTTTTTTTTTTTCTTTGACACTTAGGATTTCCTTGATTAAGAACTTCCAGTGATGAAACTCCCTTTTTTAAAGCAAAGGAGTACCTGCTTTCCAGTTTATAGTCCAAGAGGTTTGCCTGGGGGGTGGGCACTGAAAGATTAAATTATTTGCCCAGGATCATGCAGCCAGTACCTATGTGTCACAAGCTGTCCGACCTGAACCCAGGTCTTCCTGACTCTCTCTATCCATTGAACAAGGCTGCCTTGGACTTAGTAGACATTTAATTTAATGTGAAGGGTTTTAGGCTTTTTTTTGGCATCAAGTTGTTTTCTAGCCTTCCCTTCCCTCCCTTTCTCTCCCCACCTCTCCTTAACTATTAACACATTTAGAAATTTTTACCGTTCTGGGTAGTTGGACCGCTCAAGAGGTTGGCATTTAATATATGGCATTAATAACTGTGGGATATCCTGTCTATTCTTCCATCCACTGGACTCCACTGCCTCTCTGAAAGCAATCTAAAGGCAATTCCATTTTCATTCCAGTCAGTTGGCATCAGCTGAGCATGAATTCTTCTCTTTCATAGTTGATTGGGTGGCTGTGTCATCCACAGCCATTCAGAGAAACAGGTTTGGAAGCCCCCAAAAAAGAAGAGGTAAGAGGGAATTCTGTGTGGATGGCTGTGAAAATCAATCTATAAACATTTATTAAGTGCCTACTGTTGTGAGGCATTGTACTAAGTACTGGAGACATCTGGATGAAAACATCTGGAATATTAATCACTTTTTCAGGAAAGGGGAAGTCAAAGCCCTCATGCTAAATTACTGTCATTCACCTCTGTGGAAACAAAGAAAAACAACAGCGTTCGGCTGCCATGACTTTTTAAAACCATTTTAAGAGCTCTGTTTTTGTTTTTTTTTTTTTTTAACAAACTTAAGGTTCAGATTATGATATGCTCTTGTGACGATCTATACTGTTTACAGCTGTTTAAGGTAGCTATGTCTTTCACTGTATACTGGGTTGGCACTTTTACAATAGTATACACTCATGAGACAGAAATACATATACCCCTAAACGCATTTTATGGTTGGACAAATTGGGACACAGAATGGTTGGTCCACAAAACTGGGAGACTGAGATTAGCCTCCTTAAGTAAGTGGAAGGGAATTCACTTTGGGAATTGGGCAGTTATAAACTGAGCCTATTTTAAAAGCTTAATAGGTTTTTTAAAAATGTGATTTGGGCTCCAGAGAGGGTCCAAAGAACCCTCGTTAGCTGGGTAAAAAAAAAAATCTGTAAAGAGGTCATGTCAACAAGCATTTAAATAGACCATAGACCACATCTACTCTGTTGTCCAGTGGTACTAGGAGCCCTCCACTCTTTTATTTTCCTAGGATAGATCAATTTTGTTATAGAAGGTACTTCCATGGTGTCTGGCACATGGTAGACCCTTAGTAAATACTTGTCTATTAGCTGGCGGTATTCAGTTGAACATTTATGAAGCATTCACTAGCGGCTCAATGCTGTCCTAGGTCTCTGGGGATTCAATTAAAAACAAACAAAAAATAAGCTCTGCCATTGAGTGGGGTACAAAATGTATGTAGATCACCAAATAGAAGCTAACTTCAAGAGAGAGCAGTTTGTCTCACTTTCATCAGATTCTATACTCTGAAGATTTTGGTATGGCCTTTGTAAGGTTGAGAGGGGCTCATTAAATATGGGGAAAAGCATGTAATTAAGTACCTGCTACGTGCTAGGCACTGGAGGACTAAATGCTTTACAAATATTATCTCAGTTGGGAAGGGAGAAAGTCTAAGTGGCAATGGATGAAACCAAGAGCAATACAATTTTGAATATGAAAGCAGCCTTTCGTTATCTCATCCTCTCTCCTTTCCTTACCTACCCTTCTCTGCCCACCATATCGTTGGGGCATTTACCTATTGATGCATTTTCAAATGTTTACTCTCTTCTGTGGTTAGGTTACTCTAGGAGATCACCTCTTTTTTAGACTAGTTCGATGAAAAAAGTGCTGGATTTGAAATTGGAGAGTTTGGGTTCAAATCCCTTCTTTGACACTACCTGGGTGACAAGTTGCCCAACCTCTTGGGGCCTCAGTTTCCTCACCTGGAAAATAAGGACTTTGGACTTGGATTATCTCTAAGGCCCCTTCCCACTCTAAATCTATGATCATAGGAGTCTTGAGTGCTATCCATTTGTACCAAGCAGTGACCATGGAGGTCCCTTGTATACTTAGGGCACAATTAAGGTAGGAGATAGGATAAAGAAAGAGAGTGAGAGGGAAGGAGGAGAAGGGAAGAGTTACAGGAAAAGGAGTTTGAAAAAAGCAGGGAAGTGTGGATGGTGGGCACCATTAGAGTGCCACCAGTGTTACCAAAGGTGCTGTTTGGTCACTTTCCCAGGAATTGCTCTTGATTTAATATGTAACTCCCCCACCCCACCCCCCAAACAAAACAAAACAAACTAAAGATTCTAGATCCCACTGCCCTGCCAGTTTATCAAGAAATGTGTTTTCCAACCTTTCCTCTTGAATACTCCAATACTCAACATTTAAATAGATCTCATTAGTGGTGTAGTCAATCCAGTGTAGCTGAGATATATCCAGACTGCCCCATCCATTCCCATTAGACTCAGTTGAAAAAGGCTCTGAGGTCCTCTTGATTTGTCCTTGGGTGGAATTCTGCTCATCCTGGAAATAGTTCCCATGCCAGGCAGACCAATCAGCCACTGCTGGTTTCAGAGGGGCAGAGTAAGTTTGCTGTTCATACTATGCCCAAATGGCTATAAAACTGTGCATACCCTTTGATCCAGCAAGACCACTTCTAGGTCTGTATCCCAAAGACATGATAAAAAAGGGAAAAGGACCCGCGTGTACAAAAATATTTATAGCAGCTCTATATGTGGTGGCAAAGAATTGGAAATTAAGGGGATGCCCATCAATTGGGGAATGGCTGAACAAGTTGTGGTATATGAATGTAATGGAATACTGTAGTACTATAAGAAATGATGAGCAGGCAGATTTCAGAAAAACCTGGAACTGATGTTGAGTGAAGTGAGCAGAACCAGAGAACGTTGTACGTAGTAACAGCAACATTGTTTGATGATCAACTATGAAAGACTTAGCTCTTCTCAGCTATACAAGGATCCAAGACAGTTCTATAAGACTTATAATGGGAAATGCTATTCACATCCAGAGAAAGAACTATGGAGTCTGAATGCAGATCAAAGCATATTATTTTGACTTTTTGTTTTTTTGTTTTTTCTTTTTCATGTTTTTTCCCTTTTGTTCTGATTCTTCTTTCACATCATGACTAATGTGGAAATATGTTTAACATGATTGTACGTGTATAACCTACACCAGATTGCTTGCTGTCTTGGGGTTGGAGGAGAGAAAAAATTTGGAACTCAAAATCTTACAAAAATTAATGTTGAAAAAACAGAATACTATCAAGTGCAAAAAAAGGAAGAATATGAACTAGTTCAAAATGTTATAAAATTGTGTGTGTGTGTGTGTGTGTGTGTGTGTGTGTGTGTAATTGGAATTTTTCTTTAAAGAATTGAATTGAGAGTTCCAACTACCAAAAAACTATGTGAAGTTTCATTTGCAAAAGCAAAATGGTGCATCTGAAACATCTTTTACCTGACTTGATGATAATAATGTCAATTGCTCAGAAGATAAAGGTCACAAAAAGAACTATCACTCTGGATCTATTGAAGTTTTTAGTTTATATGGGTCCTGGTCAAATCTCATGGCCAGATGGTTTGCCTAAACCACTATTACCCTCAACCATGTTTCACTGTGAAATTATTTTCTGATTATTATTCATCCATATTATTCATACATTCATTCATTTATGTTTCATTAGAAGAGTTTTACTTTTTAGTTAGCTTTTGACTAAGCTTTTAAGAGTCAACTAATTCATGATGAATTGTTCTCTGTAAACTCTATTACTCACCTGATTTCTTTTCATTTGTTTGAATATATTCAAATCTGTATCGTCTGCTATTCCTCCATGCATGACCAGAATTTTTTTTATCAGAGTACCAATTGGAATCCAGGCATAAACATCTTCTAGAGAATGCAGAATTTTTGCACCGTGTTGCTAGAAATAAGCAGTTTGAGTATGTTTAAAAAAAAAGTATGCTGTTCAGAAATCACACTCATCCTTTCTAGGGAGCCAGTGGACGAAGTGCTACAGATCCCGCCATCCCTGCTGACATGTGGTGGCTGCCAGCAAAACATAGGGGACCGATACTTCTTAAAGGCCATCGATCAGTACTGGCATGAGGACTGCCTCAGCTGTGACCTTTGCGGGTGCCGCCTGGGGGAAGTGGGGCGTCGCTTGTACTACAAGCTGGGCCGGAAACTCTGCAGGAGAGACTATCTCAGGTAGGGCTCTGTGGCCCGGGAATCAATTCTTCTTTTTTTTCCTCCTCCTCCTTCTCCTCCTTCTCCTCTTCTTCTTCTTCCCCATCTCCTCCTCCTCCCCCTCAGATTCCCCCAGTGAGCAGCCAGGGCCTTCAGTGAACCTGTGTCTCCTGGTACCTTTCTCTAGCATCCAATCACCTGGATTCTTTTGTGTGCTAATGATAAAGTCCATCTGCACAGTCTGATCCCCAAAAGTCAAATACAAGAAGAAGGCTTAAAAATGCTTTATGTAGGGAGCAGCTAGGTGGCACAGTGGATAGAGGACTGGCCCAAATCCAGCCTCTGACACATAACACTTACTATCTGTGTGACCTTAGGCAAGTCACTTAATCCCACTGCCTAACCAAAACAAAACAAAACAAAACAAAACTAAAAAAAATGCTTCATGTTAGGTAGCGTGTTGATGTCACAAAAGTTCGTTTCGCTTGACAGATCTCTTCCTTCTGACCCTCAGGAGGCTGGCACAAGGGAGGCAGATAGAACAGTAAACTTGCAGTAACAGAGACGTGGGTTCAAATCCCACTTCAACCACTTGTGGCTATGGCAAGTCTCTGAGCCTAAGTTTACTCATCTGTAAAATGAGGCTGATAGTAACTGGCACTTCTGTGTCTCAAATGAGGTAATATATGTACAGTGCTTTGCAAACCTTAAAGATCTATATAAATGTCCCTGATGGTGCTGATACCATAGGGGAATAATGTTAGTATCATAAGTTTAGAGATAGAAGGTATCTTCAGAGTCCGTGAATTTAGACGGAAATAAAACAAACCACCTTTCTTTTCACTAACCTTTAGGTTTCCTTTGTAGTCCTCTGCATTTTAGGGCCCTGGGTTGGGTTTCTTTGCTTGTTTGTTTTTTAAAAGAAAGACATTCTGAAAAGGCTTTACCAGACTGCTGTAAGGGGTCCCACCGGTCTGTCCCCTCCCCCGCCAAAGGTTAAAAAGCCCTGCTCTAACTGGAGGGCACCTTTGAGGTCCTCTAATTCAACTTCTTCATTTTGCACTGAGACTGAAACCCAATGGGAGGAAAATGACCTATCCAACATCAAGGATTCATACAGGGCCATCTGCCTCCAAACCCGGTTTTCTTGATACTATACCCTCCCTCTTTTATGAATATAGAAACAAAAGCAATGAAGAGTGAAATAATTAAGTCTCTATCACCCAGTGGGAGTGGAGCTCAGGTGGTTTGGGGCCCTTATGGTCTCATGGTGCTTTGGGCCGGAGAGGCGACCACACATTTCTCCGACAGCGTTTGCTGGTTTAGCACCTCTTGGTAGGGATTCCCGATTTTCTAGCTTACAACCTGCTCCAAAGGGCGCTCTGTGTCCTCTGCTGTTGGTTCTGGTCAAGTGTGTGTTGATATTGCCATCTCCCCAGGGCAGAGGAGCCATGAGAAGACAACCGTAGGTAAGCCTGCCTAACCAGGGAAAACACCATTGACATCCAGTAACCTTGGCTGCTAGAGGTGGCATTCCTCCCAAGTTCTCAAAGTATTTTCCATTTAGAAAATCAGAATAAGTTGGATGGGGGAAATTACTTATCTTTTAATCCAGAAATTACTAATACATACTTCTCTTTCCGGTCCCCTGATGAAGTCCTGGTACATTAGGGGGTCAGTTATTTAATAGGGGTCACAAAGAAACTGAACAACTAAACAGCAGCAAAATATTTACTAGGACTACAATACAATCCAGCAAACATTTGTTTTGGAAAAGCAGGTCTTTGTTGATCTGTTTTGCTTTTATATATGGCATTTCAACAGTCACAGTGCCATTTCTAAGCTTAAATAGCTTTGTAAAGGCATTAGGACTTTTGGGACACCCTGAATTTCCCAAGGTGTCTCCTATATTCTTCCCCTTCCAAAGAACCATCCCTTATGAGAAAGAATGAAAAACAGGAGGAAAAAACAGTGCAATAAAATTAACCAATATGTGAAAAAGCCTGATATTATCTGCAGTGTTCTACAACCATAGTCCTCCATTCTGCACAGAAGGCACAGGGGGAGGGGGGGCCAGGGGGAGGAGCCTTCTCTTATCTCATCTCTGGGGCCAAGCCTGGTCATTGGGATTTCTCTGCATTCACTTTCTGTTCGTTTTGTTCTTGTTCTTTCCGTCGACGGTGTTGAAGTCAGGGTTCTTACCCTTTTTGTGTTGTGGATTCCTTTGGCATTCTGGGGAGACCTACGGACTCCTCAGAATCCTCTTTTCTTTTCTTTTTCTTTTTTTTTGAGGTGATAGGGGTTAAGTGACTTGCCCAGGGTCACACAGCCAGTAAAGAATCCTGTTTTTAAATATATGTTGAAAAAAAAAAAAACCAACAAATGACTACAAAGGAAGCCAAAAGTTAATGAAAATAAAGATGTTATTTTTTCCCGTTCAGGTTTATCGACCTCCTGAAATCTGTCCATAGACCCACTGGGGTCCATGTACCCCAAGTTAAGAACCATTGTTTCTTCTTCCCCAGTCAGCTAGGTGGAGCAGTTGTTTAAAAATACCTGAGTTTAAATCCTGCCTCAGATACTCACTAGCTGGGTGACCCTGGACCGATTGCTTGCTCTCTTTCAGCCTTAGTTTTTTATCTGTAAATTGGGGACAATAATAGCATCTACTTCACAAGGGTGTTGTGAGTGTCAGTTGAGAAAACAAATGCAAAGCACTTTGTAAACCTTAAAACTCTATATAAATGCTGTCATTATTATTATTATTATTATTATCATTTCATTTTCCTGGTTCTGTTTACTTCTCCTTGCATCAATTCATATAAGTTTTCCCATGCTTCTCCATATTCACCAACAATCATTTATTAAGCCCCTACTATGTATGTGCAAAGTACTTGGGGAAGTAATTTATAGGTAAAATAAAAAGTAAACACTACTCTACATAAGCTCACATCCCATTAGGGGTGAGGTCCTAAATACCCTATAGCCAGTTTGACAGGTCATTGATGGAAGTAAAAATGGAAATCATTCCGATTGGGATCCCTGATTCCATTTCTGTTCAGTTGTCTGGATCTTAAGTGATTCTTATAGAGGGAGGTTAGAAAGTCCAATTCCCCCACTCCCACCTCTGGTTCTATGATTTTATATCATTCTCTAAAATAAACCCAGTGCTGTTCATGTTATGAGGTTTCTCATTTTCCGTTTTGAAAAATGAGAGGAAAAACAGGCTATGAGATCCCAAAGTTAATTAACTCGTGTCTCAGTGACATGAAATAGTTTCTCCCCCACTATTTTCCCAGGTAACACGTTAATTAACTATGTGTTAGTTCAGGCTTTTCTAGCCATCATTTAATATTTAAATTATCATCATTAAAATGAGCAACTGAGAGCTTTAGCAGAGCCATTGCTTGACAGAGGCAAGAGAAACTATTTAATTTTCCTTCTGAGATGATAATAGACCCATAGACTGTTGAGCTTGGGTTTTGCTTTATGGGCCCAGCAGGGGGTTTGGTTAAAGGAAACATCTAGAAAATGACAAAATGATCACTTGGAAATAACCTCAGCCATCGTTTCCTTTAGGATGGACGTTCTGAACCCGGAGAGATTTCAAAGGGTTCGTGAACTTGGACAGGAAAAAGAAAACTATATCTTTATCTTTACTAACTTCTAACTCAAACTTAGCATTGAAGATTTTTTTTTAAGAAATCTTTCATTCTGAGAAGGGGTCTGTAGGCTTCTCCAGACTGCCAAAGGGGTTTCAACACACAAAAAGTTAAGAGTCTTTGCCGTAGAGGAACCCCGTCCCTGAAACAATGCTAATTTGCAGCAGTATCTAGACGAGTGGAGGCAGTGTGGTACGTTGGAAAGAATCCTGGCTCTGGAGTCAAAAGACCTGTGTTTAAATCCTACCTTTTAAACTTACTACCTTTGTGACCTTGGGCAAGTCACTTTCTCTCTGGGCCTCAGTTTCCCCACCTGTAAAATAATTGAGTTGGATTAGAGGTCCCTTCCACATTTCAGTGTATGAGCCCTTCACTTCTCTTCCTTAGGCCTAAGTTTTCCTCGTCTGTCAAATGAGGAGGGTAGATTACGTGGCCTCCTAAGTCCCTCTCATCTCTAGATCTAGGCTCCTATAAACTCTTCTTCATGTGAAACATCCACTGGAATTGCAGGCAGAACTTTAGGAATGGCTCCAGCAGCCACCATGGCCTGTACTCACTGCTTACCATGGTTTTCCCTTCCTAATACCAATTGAGCCCAGTCCCGGGGGAGAGAGAGAGACCAGAGCAGCTACCCTTCTTCACACCCCCTCCCCAGGTCGACTTCTTATCAGGCACTTAGTAAAGTGTTTTGGGATGAATGAATGAATGAATGAATGAATGAATGAATGAATGGACAATGGAACTCTCGATGCCAGAGGCCAACTCTCGTTTCAAGTTTTCTGGAGCTGGCACAAAGTTATCTGGTTATTGTTACCTGTTGAAATCTACCCCTAAGCTTCCTGAGTAACTCTTGGCTTCCCCTCAAGTGTTTGAGGCTCCAGTCACACGGGGACAGCTGTGTCCGTTGGGCCATCACTGCGGCCCAAGCTAGATGGCTTGAGATGTCCAGCAGAGCCTCCTTCCATTCTTGGCATTGGGACTAAGGCGAGCCAGTTCCTTCTGCTGTCAAATTGGCACGATTCTTCTCCCCAGATCAGCACAGTTGCTGTGAAATGGTTTTCCCGTTGCCCTGGGAGGGCTCCTAATGAACACTGGGGTGCAGAGGCCAACCCGAGGGGGGACTGGTCCAGAACAATGAGGCCTTTGCTAAACAACGTGCCCCATGGATTTTGTTTATTTTTGCCAGGATGCTTTCAGGATCCTGTAAACTACTGACCATCCCTCTGTCCAACTTACCCTTTCACCCCTTAGAGTCATAAAATTAGCCCCCTGCTCACAAGAACACATAGAGATAGAGATATAGACATGCACAAGTGTATGTATGTGTATATGTATCTATATAAACACACCTATATCTGTATGTGTATATATACACATGTATGTGCACATGGATGTATAGAGGTATGTGCATACATGTACATCTATGTATACAAGTGTGTGTATATATGAGCACCTGCTCATGTGTGTACATGTGTTTGGAAAGTACACAGTATACATTACAACTATGTGCACATATATGGATGTACACATGTACCTGTATAGCATAACAACAATAAGAGAATAAGACCACCATTTCTAGGCCCATCCGGTTGACCACATTGCTATTACCCTAAACATCTGCATGCCAAGCCTCTTGGGCACATACCTCTTTGTCCTCTCCCATCTCTGGACCTAGAAACAGTAATCAAATCTATGCTACCATTTCTAGAAAGGACCCATGGATCATTTGCTCTGTGACTTCATTCGCCATCCCCGTGGCTCCTCTGACCAAAACACCTTTCACTGGCCACCACCCTTCATATGTGTAGTCTTCTCCTACATAAGCTCCTTGAGGGCAGGAACTGCTTCACTTCTTGTGTTTGGGCAGCTATCACTTCCTACAGTGCCTAAAACTTAGTAAGCGCTTCATAATTTTTTTCATTCTAATGATTAATATCCATATATATGTATGTGCATGTGTATGTGTATATATGTGCATGTATATATGTATACATATATACACACACATACATATATGGAAAAAGCAGAAATAGCACAGGGAAAAGGGGGGGGGTATTTCACAAAACCCCACAGCTTCAGAGACAAAAGGGTCCATCTGGTCCAACCCATACCTGTAAAAGAATTCTCTAAATATACCAAACACATTGTCATCCTACTTTTATGTCCAGTCAACAAGCATTTGTTAGAAGACCTCCATGAAATACTGGCTCCCTCCTGGAGGCTGCCAATTCCATTTTTGTTCCAGACAACAAGCTTACATTTGACTCTTGGTAATCTCCAACCCGTCCCTGCTCTGCGCTTTGAGCTTAAACAGAACCAGTTAGATCCCTCTTCCATATGACAATCCTTCAGATACTTAAATGTAGCTTGCCTTCTCTCTCCCCCTACCCCCACTTCTACTCAAGTCTTCTCTTGGTCCACGCTAAACCTCCCTAGTTCATATGGTATGAATTCAAGGCCCTTCTCTGGGCACTTTTCAGCTTATTCATGTCCTTCCTAAAATGGAGTGCCCAGAGGGACAATGGAGCTAATTTTATTCACCTGTAAGTTGAACCTCTCAACGAAGCCTTATTAAAAGTCATTCAGCAAGATAGTGATGGAGTTGGGGACACAACTAAGATTTCTTGATTAAAAAACCAATATAGGTCAGGTCCCATGGCAATGAATTCCAAAGAACCTCTTGGATTCTCTGCTCTCATGGAATAGATTAGTGACACTTTGGAAAAAAACAGATTGCCAAATGTTAAAACTAGGGAGCACTTATTTGCTTAACCAGAACATCTTTGTTTTACAAAGAGATTCATCACAGAGGAAGAGTCAATTGGTGAACTCGTCCAAGATCTATAAACCTGGTAGAATGTAAGCTCCTTGAAGGCGGCACTGTTTTTGTTTTTGTATCACCAATTACGCAGTCAAGTCATGTCAAGAGGAGTCAACAAGACTTTGTTAGGAGCTGACTATGTGCCGGGCATTGTGCTAAGTGCTACAGATACAAAGAAAGGCAAAGAGCTCACGGTCTAATGGCGGCCTTGAACCTAGGAGCCACACGAGTAAAAGTTGAATTGGAATTATGATTAGATTTATAAAAGAATTGGTTTACATACATCTGCTCCTTGTGAGCAGAGACTATCATTTGCTGTTCAGTTGTGTCTGACTCTTTGTGACCCCATTCAGGGTTTTCTTGGCAAGGATACTGGAGTGGTTTGCCATTTCCTTCTCCAGTTCATTTTACAGATGAGGAAACTGAGGCAAACAGGGTTGAAGTGACCTGCCTACGATCACAGAGCTAGTAAGTGTGTGAGGCTGGATTTGAACTAATAAAAATGAGTCTGCCTGGGCAGCCAGGTGGCGCAGTGGAGAGAGCACTGGCCCTGGAGTCAGGAGGACCTGAGTTCAAATCTGGCCTCAGATACTTGACACTAGTTGTGTGACCCTAGGCAAGTCACTTGACCTCAATTGCCAAAGAAAAAAAAAAGAAGATGAGTCTTCCTGACTCCAGGCCCAGTGCTCTATTCACGGTGCCACCTAACTGCCCCTGGCACATATTAGGCACTTAATAAATGCTTATTGACTTGACTGCATGGTTACCAGGATGTGGTTGAAAGGAGTATTGGGTTCAAATCCTGGTACTACTGCTTTCTACCTTTGTGATCTTAGGCTTCTGGTTGTTTAACTTATGTGTCTCAGTTTTCTCATCTATAAAATGGGAGGAATATAATAGACGACCTCTGAGTTTTCTTCCAGCTCTCCGTCCTATTGTATAAAGTGAGTCAAATCCAAATTGGAATTTTGTTACACTGTCTTGAAATAAATGACGCTTTCATCACGGTGGAACTTGACCTGCAGATAGTATAGCTTCATTTAAATGTCCAAGGAGATATTTCCACTGGAACTTCCTGGCAAGGAGGAGTGGATATTAGATCTCCCAATCTTCCCCATCATTTGGAAAGCGGATGTTTTTTCCACATTTCTGTCTAAACAAACCTGATTAACTGGAGCTGGTTTTTTCTCTTGAATTTCTTTTTATTCCCCACCAGAATTAGGTGATTCTCACACTGAGTTCAGTGATTTGTGAAATGACCCAAGGCCAATCTTACCCTCTGATAAAATACAATCTTAGACGTCCTTCCGCACCAACTCCTACCTAAAATTATTTCCTCTACCCACTACTGCAGGTTAGATATTTATTCCTTTGGGTTGAACATTTCTCTCTTTTTCTAATGCAAACACCCCTGAATGAGTGATGGTGGAAATGCTTATGTTTCTATAGCTCTTTAAGGTTTACATTCCTTCATTTGATCTGTAACAACCTGTTTATTGTTCCCACTTTACATATAAGGAGATTCAGGCTTACAACAATTCCTAAGTGTCAGGGGCCACATTTAGACCAGCTCTCTCCTTACTCCCAAGTTCTACCCCCTTTTCCCACTGCATCAAGCTGCCTCTCTCTCTCTAGTTAGCATATTACATCTCTGACATCTTAGTATGAACCAAAAATCCACCAATCACTTCCTGAGATTCCAAAATGAAAACTCCCAGGAATACTATAGTCAAATTCCAGAGCTCCCAGGTCAAGAAGAAAATACTGCAAGCAGCCATCCTAGTATGAACCAGCATAGCGAATGTTTTCCTCCAGGGTGGAGAGGCCTGGGATGGTATATGAGGATGCTCCCTGGGTAACAGAGAGCTAAAGGGTAGAGGAGACAGAGGGCTCCGTACCAATTTCCTAGAGTCCCTAATTTTGTTACAATGACCCTGCGTGGAGGAAAGGTAACTTCCATATTTCTAAGAAAAATCAGCCGCCCTTGGGAAGTTCTTCAGAATGACTAGCCCAATGGGATTCTCCCACTCTGCTCTGAGAAGATTGTCCTAACCCATCCCCATGCCTTTATTATCCTAAGGTTTCTTCTGCCTCCTTAACACTTTGTTATTATGTGGGCTCTTCCCTCTTTCCCCCAGGCTTTTTGGCCAAGACGGCCTCTGCGCTTCCTGTGACAAGCGGATCCGGGCCTATGAGATGACCATGCGTGTGAAGGAGAAAGTGTACCACCTGGAGTGTTTCAAATGTGCGGCCTGTCAGAAGCACTTTTGCGTCGGCGACAGGTATCTCCTCATCAACTCTGACATAGTGTGCGAACAGGACATCTATGAATGGACTAAAATCAATGGCATGATCTAGGCAAGAGGCCAGAGTCTCTGGGCGGTGCTTTGCTGATGGCACAAACTAATAGTCTCGATAGGAAGGGGACGGGGAGGGGGGCTGCTGAGCTATGCACTCTGGGTAATAGGGGTGGGGTGGGGTAATTTCTTTAGGGATGAAACCATAGGCCCTTATCAGGCAGCCCAGCATAGCATCAGAGTGAGCTGCACGGGAGCAAGGAAAGCAGATTTAAACATGCTGACTCTTAGAGAGAATTTCTAGCAGAAGGCTACCGGTAATAACTGACATTATTAGCTGAGGTGTGGGGAGGTTGGGTGGTGGGCAAATAATGGGATCTCATACCTGCAGATAGTGAGTTATCCGTATAAAAAGTTGTCCTGACTTTGACACTTGCAAATGAGAAACGTGCAATTGGTTGATTATGTTTCTTCCCTGGGGCTTTTCCAGTAACCCTGTTTAGATCCCTGTTCATCACACTAGGGGAGGACGAAGGAAGAAAGAGTGGCCGTCCCTTTTCTTGGCCATTTTCCCAAGGCCTTAAGCTTTGGACATATGGGAAACACGTTTGCATGGGGACATGTTTCAGTTGGGAATGTTCATTGCAACTTTTAACCACAACCCTTCCCTAAAGATAGATAAAATGCTGGTGAACCACTGTTTTTAGACACCTCTGTTCAAGGTGACGGATTTCACAGATTGTTTCTATACAAATGTAAATCTAAGCAGAGTTGTTCAACTATTTTATTATCTTAGATTATATCAATAAAGTATTTGTTGTGTGTAGTAAAACCCTGCAGATTTAATAAAAATGACAGACTGAGACGCTGTGTCGTTTCTTTAGACGATATCTTAGTTTGAAGTAACAGTTCAATTCCATGGCATTTATTAGCTGAACCCGGGTCTTTCTAGGTTGTCACGCCACAGCTACTTCTCACAAAATCCTTTCCACATTGCAACTTTCCCCATTGCATTTTTGATATATGGCAGATCAGCGTAAGTAAGTAGATGGGAATTTTGGGGGGAGTTTTGCAGAAGATGTGGACAACACACAAAGGCCAGCAGACAACACAAAAAGTTTAGAAATTCAGAAATGCATAAAATCTATGTATAGTATTATATAATGTCAACCCCAATTTTACAATAAGGTACTGTGAAAACCCCATAAAAGAAAATGAAAAAATTCAGACTTCTTCTGTGGTAAAAAGGGAGAGTCAAAAAATTTTACACAGATTTTTTCCAGATCGCAGGGGTGCTGCATTTCTAACTCCCGCGATGTGGAAGAAATAATTGTATATGCAACTAGGAGGGGAGGAGGGATTGGGAATCAAGAAGCGCATTCTGCCATTCATATTTACATACTTTGCAATATAGAGAAAGTTGAAAAGGGAACATGGCAGAATGGAAATAACGCTTGAACCGGGCACCAGGGAACCTCAGTATGAGTCCCAGCTCTGCCACTAATGACCTGCGTGTCCTCTGGCAGATGACTTAATTTTTCTAGGCCTGGAAAAATCCTCATCAACCACATGATGGTTTCTATTTGGTATCAGAATCAGAAAGACCTGGGTTCAGATCCTGCTTCTGACATGTGCATACTGGTTGTGTGACTACAGATAACAAAAATAAACATTTGTAAAGTGCTTATGATGTGCCAGGCATAGTGCTAAGTACAAGGGAGAGCAAAAAAAAGACAAAAACAAAAAACCAACTTTGCCTTCAAGGAGTTCTCATTCTAATGGACAAGGCATCTCTGAGGCAGGGTGGTATCAGGGTGAAGTGGAAAGAAGGTTGGGTTTGGGTTTAAATCCCAGCTTTGCCTCCAGCGTGACTGGACAATCATTTAATCTCTGGCCCTCAGTTTCCTCATCTATAAAATGGGGTGAGATTAGAAGACCTCTCTGGTCCTTCTATAATCTATATAAATATAGATTATAAGTGTATAATCTATAGAGTTAAAGATTATAAGTCTATAATCCTATGACTTTCCAGATGGATAGAGGGAGTTGTACACACTGATGAAACCACAGGTCTGGACCATCAAGAAAGAATGAACAAAAAACAAGAAAATAAGCAGATGTCTTATTTGGTCCATTCCATTGGGACTTTCTTTTCCCATCAGAGTCTAGGCCAAGCAGACACATACCTATATTGTTAGCAATCACATAACAGGTCAACATTTAGCTCAAAGGGATGTAGTTTAATTAAATTGTTATTGTTAGGTGTTTATTATTGACCTTGTATTGTAGAAAACATAAAAAAGCCAAGATCACTGCCCTTGGGAGCCAGTAACCTCGAAAGGACACAACTATATAAAATAAGGTTTCCTTTGGGACTGAAGGTAATTACCCAGTTTGAAATGTGGCAAAGATGCTGAGTTTGACACTTCGATTTTCAGAGACAGGGATCTCAGAGTATTTTATTACAAGTGCTTAAAAGGACTTTACTTGGAGGATTCATAAAGCGAGACACCTTCAGAGATGTTGGCTGTGTAGCCTTTCACCTCTAGGCCTGGACAGTGCCCGTGGACTGATCCAGAGTGCCCCCTGCTGACCACTCATTCTGACCTCTAGAGGGAGGACCGTAGTACCCTCCCTACAAGGCTGATTTCTTTCATGAGGTTATTGTTGGGAGGTAAGGAAGTATTAACGTGCTTAATCACCAAAAAAAAAAAAAAAAAAATTAAATAAGCAACTTGTAAGGTACCAGTGTGATAAATGAACTCTGAGACGTCGCCTTGAAAACTCCCAACCTCAACCAAGCCACTGATTAATCTTTTTCTCTGCAGGCAGAATAATTAGATGGCCAGGACTCTCTTAGTCTGCAAAATGCCCAAAATGGCCAGGAAGTTTGATGGTACAATGTGGCCTATTTAAAACAAAACTAATTTTCATGCATTCTGGCTCCCCGGAGAGGTGTATGAATATGGGGGATGGGAGAGAGGGAAGGAGTTAAATTGGCCCTTTCGCTAGTTAGAAAGGCAATCCATTAGTAGCAGTCTAATAGAGAGCATAGCTCTGTTGAAGATAGAGATTGATCATTGAATAATTATATATGTCATAGGTAGAGCTTGCTAAGTGCGGGCAAGTGTTTTAACAATTTCTCAATTGTGCTTGGGCCATCTCAACAACTGGTTTGTGCACCATCGACTGGAACGATTACATGCTGGTTAGATCCCATCACCTGCTTATTATTGAATATTTTTGCTTATAGAGACATAGCCCAAATTAATTGTTGAAAAATGTCAGCACGTGAAGATGCAGATTATACGATGGTTAAAAACCTACAATTGAGTCTCCCATCACCCATGTGACCTTGGGCAAGTGCCTTTGCCTCTCTCTGCCTCAGTTTCCTCATCTGTGAAGTAACCTGTGAAGGTAATAACACTCACCACCCAGCATTGTTGTGAGGCTCAAATGAGATATTTGTAAAGTATTGTGCAAACCTTAAAGTGCTCTATAAATGTTAGATGTTATTATTACTATTACCCATGCCCTTGAGCAATCCACTTCATCTATTTGGCCTTCAGTTTTCTGTAAAATGAGAGAGACTGGATTAGATGAAATGAAACTTCTCTGAACACACTTGGGCTCCATACAGTTATATGTGTGTATATATGTGTGTGTGTGTGTGTGTGTGTGTGTGTATATGTGTGTATATATATTTGTGTGTATATATGTGTATATATATATGCATGTGTATATGTATGTGTGTGCATATACATATATATGTATGTGTATATATATATATATATACATAAAACAATTTCCTCAACTGTAAAATGAGGATAATAACAACACCTTTTTTCCAGGATTGCTGTAAAAACTGAATGAGATAGTATTTGTAAAGTGCTCCGTAGAGTGCCTGGCACACAGTAATATTAATAATTAATAAACAATTTTCCTTCCCTTCCCAATATGACAAACTGCTTGATGTAGTACAGTGGTTGATTCTTAAATTCTTTTTTTGCTCAAAGTACTGTATTTTTCTTTAGCTTTGCCATCAGAGAGATGGGAGACTAGGGAATGTGAGTATAATTGCAAGTGTATGCTCCATTCAGTGCCTAGGTATAAGGAATAGAGTGATGGAGTTGAAGAAGACCTGGGTTCTAGTCCTGCCTCAGGCATTCCCTAGCTTTGGTGACTCTGGGCTAGTCAATTAATCTCTCTGAATCTCAGTTTCCTCATCTGTAAAATGAGAATTAGAATTAGAATAGCTGCTTCACAGGGTCATTCACAGATTTAGGACTGGAAGGGATTTAAGGGGTCATCTAGTCCAATCCCAAAAGGAAACTGACTCACTCAGGGTCACACAGGAATAAATGGCAGAGCTAAGATTGAATCCAGGGCCCCTGACTCCAGATCAAATGCTTCTTTCATTGTATTATGCTTTTCAAGAGGTCATAAGGTAGTTGGTGATGTAGGATTAGAGCTCAAGAGAGATTAGATACAGCAGTTTGGGAATCATCTGCATAGAGATGGTAATTGAACCCGCGGGAGCTGAGGAGATCATCAAGCAAGATAGTTAGAGGGAGAAGAGGAGAGGAGAGGATAGGATAGAGGAGAGGAAAGGAGAGGAGAAGAGAGGAGAGGATGGAGGAGAGGAGGGGAGAAAAGGGAAGAGGAGGGGAAAAGAGGAGGGAAGGGAAGAGAAGGAAGAGAAGGGAAGAGAAGGAAGAGAAGCGAAGAGAAGGCAAGGAGAAGAGAGGAGAGGAGGGCCCAGGATAGACCTTTGACCTCCAGTGGTACATCACCAAATGCCAATTGGACATTTTGAACTGGATGTGCCCTAGATATCTCAAACTCAACATGTCCAAAGAAGAGTTCATTCTCTTCTCTTCCCCCAACAATTCTCTGTTACCTAGGCATGAAACCCCAGTAACATCCTCAACTCCATGCTCACGTGCATGCCGCGTAGCCAGTCTGCTGCCAAGTTCTGCTGATTTCTCCACTCACACAGCTGCCATCTTTGTCAAGTGCAAGCCCTCTTCACTTCACACCTGGACTACTGCAATGACTTTCTGGTTGGTCTTTTAACTCAGTTTCTCCCCACTCCAGTCCATCCCTCAAAGGGTTCTTCCTAAAGCACAGGTCTATGTTGCATCCCTCTATGCAATGAACTCCAGAGGTTCCTTTCCAGAATCACATATAAAATCTATTTGGTTTTTAAAACCCTTCAATAGGGGCAGTTTGGTGGTGCAGTGGATAAAGCATTGGCCCTGAAGTCATCAGGCCCTGAGTTCAAATCTGACCTCAGACACTTAGCTGTGTGACCCTGGGCAAGTCACTTAACCCCAATTGCCTCAAAAAAATAAAAAATAAAAATAAAACCCTTTATAACTTGACTCTTTTTTTTACCTTTCCAGTCTTACATATTAGCCTTTGTGCTGTTCCTCACACTGTGATATCCCATCTCCCAGTTCCATTCCTGGAATGCTCTCTCTCTTCATCTCTACTTCCTGGCTGCCCCCAAGACTCAGTTGCTTCCTTTTAAGATTACCTCCCATCTCCTCTGCAGTGTTTCTTGATTGTAGGAGTTACTTGCACAATTAGAATGTGAACTCCCTGAGGGCAGGAACTGTCTTTGGCCTCTTTTTGTTTCCCCAGTGTTTAGCACAGCACTTGGCACATAGTAAATTTTTAAGAAATGGTTGTTGACTGACTGATAGACCCATAGTTATGGAAGTGACCTGAATCCAGCAGAGACTGAGAAAATGTAGTCAAGTTGCAGGAAAACCAGGAGACAACAGTGTCTGAATAACCTAGAAGGAGAGAATATCCAAAAGGTGAAGGTGTTCCCAAGTGTCAAAAGTCAAGAGAGGTC